AAAAGTTTTTTAAGTTCCCTCATAGTGTTTGTTGTTATGGTGAGATGTTTGGTCACAGATTTTTAGTTATTTCTTGATAAGATATACAGCTAATGTTTGCACAAATACACTTCCTGAATGACAATATAATGTGGTGAAGAGATTTCTTCAAAATTCGACTTCGTCCTTTAAAATGTAATATGTAATAAACGATAAATAGCGCATGTCTTCGTTTTACGAAAAGTGGAAATTTTGGAATTTTACTGTTTGCACCATGGGATAGAGTTCAAACAATCTTTTAAAGAAAATGCTTTCGACTATGTGACATCTGTTACTTTAAATTTTCATCATCTAAAACTGTATCTTCTCTAATGCTTAGAAAGTTTCATAGATTATGAAACAAAATCTTCGCCCTCTTTTAAAACAAGAACGTTTAATAAAAAATATTGATTTGGCCGCTTTCTTCATTTAAAAATTTATATACTGAAGGAGAAACTGTGGTTTTCTCTTTAGCACCATGTGATACGCTTGGAACTCCGAAATTACGATAGCATCATACGTCACATTAATTTTATGGATTTTGTACAGAATTCTCTATCATTGATTTTATTCTTTTATTTCTCTTCCCTGCAGTAGTCTTCTTCTATTTTAAAAACTCGAGTTCATATTACTCCTTCTTTCAGAAAAAGCGTTTCCGTGGAGTATTATTTTCCTCTTACTAATCTCAAAAACTGCAAAGTTTGATGATGGATTACAGAGTGAAATTATTTGCAATGGAATATGCGCCGAATTTTTAGTTTTTCCATTTTATAAACTATATAATTTTTCTCAGCATTTTATTTTAAAAAGCTGATTTTATTAATTTTATTTTGAAGCATAATAACATATTCCCTTTGGAATTTTAAAATTCTAACATCACTAAATTACCTATTTGAAATAGTTGAACTATTCATAGGCTATGAAATAAACTTTTCACCCACTTTTATAATAAGAATAGTAAAACAAACTTGTTATCCAGGAGATTTGCTAGAATTTATATTCTAACTAGCTACTTGAGAGGCAAGCCATCAGAGTAGCATGCGTATTTTTTCGCAGATATTATGCATAAACTTTAATTTAAAACTCAAAATTATAAATTGTAGCGAATGGTTATAAATAATAAGAGAATTGCCGGAAGTAAGACAGTGATTATTCATTGTTGAAGAACGGTTTTTCAGTTGAAGTTTGATTGATAACGTGTAATTAAGGCTGAAAAGAAGAAAATAAAAGATTAATAATTAAATTTTACAGACACTAGGTATAATTTTGAAAGCAGGAGATTTGAAAAATTAGCAACACGCCTTCGCCGGGAATCGAACCGCGGACATCTGGAATACGCGCCCAGTTCTTTGTTTCAACTGGAGTACTACAACTTACTTATTGTTATGCTTTTAATGGTACAGCCCGGACATAATTTTTTAAACCTAAACGGAATTTTTATTCTAGACGAACAAAACTCTTGAAACTATGTTTTATAGATTTCTCTACACTTCTATGATGAAAAAACTTCATAAATACGAGATTGCGACATTTTTTCTTGATAGTTCTTTTACTGAAATATTATGCATTTAAAAGCAATGCTGACAGTGCAAAAGCGTATAAAGGGCTCTACAAAGCTGTCATTATTGGTTATATCTTAAATCCTTCGGTAAGTATTTAAAGGCAAAATATGAACGTTTATGACCAATTTACAAGCAGTTGTCATATTTGTTTATAAATTACTAATTAATACATAGGCGATTCCCTTTTAAATGGTAAATTGCAAATTATTGTATGATTGTTTATACCATTAAATGGGGAACAGTAGTTGTGATTGTAAAAAACGTACTCTCCGAAATCTAGCATTTTACGTCCAATATAACAGATACTTCCTTGAGTATAAATAATCTGAAACTGAATCTAAATATGTTTACTGACAAATTTGAAAGGTGACAAAAGCCAGAATCAGGTAAATGAATAAATGGATGTATTTTTCTCACTGCCGGGTTTTGCTAATATTTAAAACAAAGTTATAACTGACACATTTTATAGAAAACATTTCTCCTCTTTTATTGAAAACAACTTCGTCATCTTGAAGCTAGCAATTATACCTTTAAATTTACTAGGTTTTGAAAAATGACAAAAGAGTCAGCAGTTTTCTTCATATCCCTTCTTATTCGAAATCCTCTGAAGTTTTACCACTGGTTTATCATGCCTTTTATTGGATTTAAAACCAAAACTAGACCACTGAAAGCACCATATGGAGATATTACAAACTGCCACTGGCTAATTGGAAAAGTGTGCTGGCATTTTAAAAATCAAGATGAGATGAACTAACTGCTCAGATAATTGTCCAGCAGACGTAATGCTTAAAAAATAAGCAATTTTTTTAAATGCTTGTAATAATGCCAAAAATTATTTCTGAACTATTTGAATACATTTACAGTTTTTGTATTGACTCAAATCATCACGCGTACTTTAGGCTTTCTAAATTTAAGTGAGAGTTATATTTAAATTAACTTTTTTGATAAAGTTTCCGATTACTTTAGCAAGCCTTTTTTTAAACAAAAGAATGTTAAAGGTGAATTAATTTTTTTTAAATTTATTTCCAGAAATTTTATTAAAATTATTTTTAATAATCAACCTCTAGGTCATTTCCTCATTTGCATATTGCTCAAAATGTTCTTGCTTAAATCTCCATTTCATTTTGAAGAAATAAACTATGTCTTTCTTAAACATCGTATTTGTTAACCATTGGTACAAATCGGATGTCTGTCATGGGTCTACATCTTATTTGTATTACTTATTACTAGAAAATGTCTACTACATTTTTCAAGGCAAAACGAAATTCCAAAATAATTACACATATAATCATAATTTAAATTTTATATAAATTATATTTCTATTTAATAAAAATATTTAAAAGGAGAGTAAAAAAGTCTGTTTTGCTGGCTTCGTTATGTCTCGTGAGAAATTCAGTTTCCAGACTTAGAGGAATATTTCGAAGAGCTTAAAACATATGTTCATTTGTTTTGAATATTTGGACATGCAGAAAGAGTTATGCTATGTTTTATGTCCTTAACTGGTTCAGTTGCTTGAGAACCGACTCAGGTTTTCGAGAAATTAAGCATAAAACGGAATAATATATATATTCACTATGCTTTGAATTCCTGCGTTCAGAATGTCCAGTCTAATAACCTTTCAGCAAAATTCGAGAGCTTTTCTGCAATAAATAACCCATAATCTAAATTTACTTTCCCTATTTTTTGCTCCAAAAATTCATTTGTACCTTCGCAGTTATGAATGTTTTCTCTACTGCATTTAGTCCAAAGAAATACTTATGTGTGTTACTCTGTCCTAAAAGTTTCAATGCAATTTATGAATAACTATAACAGTAATTAAGACACAATAACACGCCAAACAAATACTAATTCAGAAATCAAACAACGAAAATCAGCGATATATTTTCAAATTTTCACAGGACTAGTTTCGATGATTTTACTGAACCCCCAAGATGCATTAAGATATCTAGAAACCAGACTTCGCGAATTTCATTTCTCTTGCATCCAAATTGATGAGCTAATTTCTCTCACTCAACTCTGTTTGAAACAAACACATTTTGTTTTCCAAAATAAATATTACAAGCAAACTGAGGAATTAGCTATGGGAAGCACTCTCAGTCCCATCCTGGCTGATATCTACATGCATTATTATGAATCAAAATTGTTTGAAACTTTAAACTTCCCGGTATGGTTCCGCTACGTAGACGATACTTTTACCCTGTTTTAAGGTAATAAAGATGATTTAAATTAATTCTTTCAACAATGAATTCTATTTATTCTGCTATTCAGTTCACTTTTGAACTTTGAACTTGAGACTTGCAATTCTCTTCCGTTTCTCGACATTCTGGTCACACGTAACACATCCAACTTGAGTACTACGGTTTACCGTAAACCTTCTTCGGTTTGCCTTCCACCACACTTTAAATCATGTCATCCGACTAAACAAAAGTTAGCTTCATTTTATTCCTATGTTTTCCAAGCTCTTCAAGTTTGCTCCTCCAAACTAGCCCTTGATGAAGAACTAAATCATTTAAAAGCAATAGCTATTGACAGGGGCTTTCCACCCAACATTATTAATCAAGCAGTTAAAAAATTCTCATCTCAACACACTAAAAGGCACACTCTTGTTTTAGGAGATTATAAAAAATTCTGTTGCCATTCCCTTCTTTCCATCAATTAGCTATAAAGTTGCACATATTTTGCAGAAATTTAACTTTTCGGGTTGTTTTATTCTCCCTCAATAAATTCCGAGTTCCATACTCAAGTACCCCATTCCGGATATGAATTCCTGGGGTATTTATAGGATTCCTTGCCAGTGTGGTTTAATTTACATTGGCCAATCTAAGAGAGCCTTAAAATTTCGCGGCAAGGAACATGAGGCTTATGTTAGAAAAAATCTGTTGCTCAACATTGTTGGTCTGAAAGTCACACTTTCAATTTTTCTGCTGCCAAAATTATTCAAAAAACATCTTCTATTGGAGAACTGGATTTTCTAGAGGCATTTCACATTCAAAAAAATCTTTCATCTTTTTGTTCTAGTTAACGATCCTAATTCCAATCCATCTTTGCCTTCGGCCTTTAAAGAAATGATGCTTTAGTTCTGGTTTAACCAACAGATGGCGTCACTAGCTTATTTTCTGTCCAGGCTTTCTTATCTAATCTGATCATTATATCCTATCTCGTTCATTTGCGTTTCTGCAGCTGAGGATGGTAGTTCGATAAAACCATCGAAACTAGCCCTGTCAAATTTGAAAATATAACGCTGATTTTTGTTGTTTGATTTCTGAATAACTATAACAGTATTTAAATAATGTAATAATTGTCACCTTATAGTATGTTAATTAAGAAGAATATTATATAGATGAAGTATTAAAGATTGCATCAATTAGCTTAACTGTACTAATAATAAATAGTAGCGAAATACGTTTCGAATAACAGAACTGATATATAATGAGCTTTATTTCTTAAAAATGATAGGCATGAAATGCATATTCACAAGCAATATTGTACATAATAAATAAAAAAATCCCGTATTGACGAGCAAAACAGCGTATTCCACTTTCTTTACATTACAGAAAATCTTGGAGGACGCGAACATTGATACGTATTTGCAAATCTGGTTTACAGACCTGTAAAAACAATTTAATGAATAAGTATTAAAATCATTAGAAATGTATGCTCTACACAAATTTTTTATTTTTAGAAGCAAATATTAAATTCACTGATGAAAATGAAATAAAAAAGGAAACATAGTTAACATATGAAATAATGTTCATAGCTGTTGAATATTTTAAGCACAACTTTCTAAGTACTTTTTAAAATTTACTTAAAAGAAAATATAGTCAAAACATTACAATAAAACTGTTTAAATTGTTCTCATATGCGTCTTTTGGATTAAGAATATTTTGGGATCTTATATGTATTTAATTATTTAATTTATTTCTAAAACATGCTTAAACATGCTTGCTTTTAACAATAAATTTTGAAAAAATACTGATGACAAAATCTGATATTAAAAATTATCTATAAACCAAAACTAATACTTCACATAATAAAATTCACATCTCATGTAATTTAATTACTCCATAATATTTTATAAATTATTTTAATGCGAAAGTCAACTATTCATACACCAAAACATGTTGATTAAATTTAGCTGTAGAAATGCATTATATATTTATAAAATTTTGTGATAGTAATGCTTTTATCTAAGAATGGTTCAGAGGTTTTTCTTATTCGAAGCATTTCCTAACGCTCATTTATGTTCAGTTTTCTAAGTACATATAAAACGTATTTATTGATTAATGCAATGTTAATTGTAGCTTAAATTTTTATAATTAATTTTTTCAGCCTAGCAACTCCCAAGTGCATTATGGAATTCTACAGTTTTAGTTGATATTCTAAAAATTCTGACACTTTTGTAGCAGAGTTCCTGAAAGGAAATTTAATCCCTGTGAAAGATAGTAAAGGTACTTAAAATATTGTCTTTTAATGAAAAATTGGTTAAATTATGTATTTGTGTAATTGTGATCTTATTTGTTGCTTGCATTTGAAAATTATTTCGTGATTATATTTGTTTTTTATTTTACGTTTTAAAGTTTTGCAAGTTATTGCAAATATTAAATTCACTGTATGCAAGGTTATTACTATATTTCTGTATGCACAGTTATTCATTTTCGATTGTATGTTCTTGTATATATTTCTTCCTTTTTAAAGAAATCCAACAAATATTATTAGAAGTTACTTTTCCGAAGTCCAACAAATATAATGAAATACACTTTTTGACAATTTCAGGCTTTATTGTGGAGATTACGTGTATTTCTCTCGTTTAAAAAAGATCCCGAAGAGAAAGAGAGATTTCAGAAAACGTGTCATGCCATAATAATAATGATTCCTTTCTTTAATGCAACTTCGACATATCTGATACTGGTAGAAATACCATGCATATATAAAATGAATATCATATTTAAATACGTGTACGTGCATTATTGAAAAGGAATTCGCGGATGGCTTCTTAAATATATCAATGAATCAGTATTATGTAGCGTTCTAGTACTTTGGTAGACGGAAGGTGCTACTTTGGTAGACGGTTGCACGGATTTTGGAGATTGTTTGGCGAGTTTTCTTTTGGCGAGTAATACAACTTATGGTAAACCCATTGCTGAATAAGTTATTTATGGTAACCGATACTTTGTTGTCATTTTATTAAAAAAATAATGCGTTTTATTATGCATAACTTCCGTGTTTTAAATATTATTTATGGCTTCTAAATATTAAAAATCAACTTAATTTTACATTTTTATTTGAAATAAAAATTTTGTTGTTTATAATATTTATATAATTTTATGTTGTTGATGATGTAATCAATGACGTCACCTACTTAAAAAGTAATTGGTTTTATTAATATCTATAAATTTAATCTAATGTTTTAAACATTATTTATGGCTGTTAAATAATAAATACAATTTAATTTGCATTTGTTTTAAAATATTTAAATAATTTTAATTCTATGCGTGATGTAATCAGCTCCCTGATTGGTTACTGAATATTTGTGCATTTACCGCGCCATTTTAAAATTTTATTATTCATCTCTTCGAATTCGTCAGATTTCAAATGGAATGGAATATCTTCGTTCTCGAAGATGAATGTTGTTATTGGTAATTACCAAGAATTATTGGGTATTGGAATAAAAAAATTGCCCTTTGAGAGCTTATTTTGGCCCAACCTGTCTTTCCTAATCAAAGATTTATTTAGAAATTGTTGAATAGCGTCAGAGGAGGAAATTATTTTAAATTTTTGGAGGAAACCGCGCTAATTGCTTCTCCAATGAAGTGCGAGATATGTGGATAACAGATGAAGATGGTTAAAAGAGCCGAATTCAATTATGATTTCGATTTTTTTTTTGTAGTACTTATCAATAAACAAGAGGTTAAACTACTTAAAAAAATGTAAGTACATATTTTTCTTTTATTTTAGAATTGTATACTTCAATTTTTTGTTAAAAAAATTAATACACTATTTTCAAAAAATTGCTGAGATAATTATTGTCACATATGTTTTAATGTTAATTATATTTTTATATAATGTATTTTAAAGTATTTGAATTTAATAATATTCTAATTCTTTTAAATGTTGGTAGGATGGTTTTTAATTCGATATTCAATTTCAGTAATATTTTAATGTAATTAAACGTTGACACAATGTTTTTATAGCGGTGTTTTTATTCTTTTTTTTTCGCTATATGAAAGTAATAATAGCCTTACTTTAGTATTTTATACTCATAGTAAATGTATTTATTTACACTTGCCTGCCATCTTAAAAAACAACATTTTCAACAAAAAATTAATCCATTACTTTTAACGATATTTATTTATTTATTTATTTTTTAAGTTTCGAATACTTTACTATGCGTAGAAGCAGCGTTTTTCAAGATGGCTGATGATTGTAAAAATCGCGCCAACAATTGCGCCAACGTAAATCGCCAAAAATCCGTGCAACCGTCTACCAAAGTAGCACCTACTTGAATAACTGAGTCATTTATCTGGTTAGATTATAACAATAAAGTTCCAATATTCAGGTGAATGAGCTCATTTATAAATGAAACTATTATGAGTTCATATATTATTTCTATGAAATGATATTCTGAAATTTTTAAACAAAATCTCATCCTCCGCATGTCTTACAAGCAGTTGTTGTCCAGTTCTTAGTACGATTTTCTATATTTATCGGTTTGGTAACTAATAAGTTGAAATTGTAATTTAATTCCAGGAATCAAACAGAAATCTAAGAGTGGGAATACTTACATACCCGGTTACCAATTTTTAAAATGAAAAGAAATGACTAATTTAAGGCAATAACTAATATTTGATAAATAAATGAGTACAGTTTAAACTATCTAACATAGTTCAGTTGCAGCCCAAACCGTGGTAATTACAAAAAGTCAGGAAGATTTTATAGACTGCGATCGACCTTGTAAAGATTATTGTTTTTCATGAATAGCTGGACTTATTTTCAAAAATTGCTTTCATTAAGAAGAGAATAAGCTTATATCTAAGTACGGTAGAAAAACATGTAGTGTCTTTATTCGAACTCGAGACTTTTGAGTTATTGAACTGGTGTGCTGTCTTCTGGAGTACGTAAAAGGAATACATAATTCCTTACCCTCTTCAGCCTGAAGACCGTTGGAGAGAGAAAGAAAGACCCCGGGTAAACCGATTTTAATTTGGTGATAAATTATTTTTCATCACCTTTAGTTCGGACTTCATAAAGAAAGTATCTTTGAGCGAAATACCATAGGAACAAAATAGTTCTCTTCTCCTGATTCCATCTTAGGATCACTGGATTGTTAAAGTAATGAGTTATCCATTAAATTTCAGTCGCAAAAGCACATTCAAGGAAAGCTTTAATTCCCTAAGCATTAAGCTTAAAGACAGTAGAAGTGTAGAAGTTCAACATCATTGAGACTAGCAACTATTCTTCCAGGAAATGCATGGACAAGACAGTAACAAAAACAACAGTAGTGGCTTTATTCCTTGTTTTTGGAACAATAAGAGTATTTCGAAGAAACAATTTCTCAATAAAGTTACAGAGAAGAGATTCGAGTGCGACATTACATTATTAAATTATGAAACTATTAATGATATTAGTTATATTGTAGCTTTAATATGAGAAATCATTAGGTTCCCAGAAGATGAGTTATTGCGATTGCATTTCTGCGGCAACTACGGAACTTTCGATCCTTAGATTCAGATTTTAAGTTTAAAGGTATGCATATGCTTATAATTTCATGAAATGCAACAGTTTAGTTCCTGATGTCTTAGACTTAAGTTATCTTTCCGTTTGGAAGTCGGTTTGACTCCCACAGTTTTTGTTCTTAGATGAAGGTGAAGATGTTTCTTCAAGATGTTTATTTTAAAAACTAAATATGGTCGAAATGTTTTACCAAAGAGGTTTTGGCATGAAAAAGTAAGACAAGTTAACCTTTATATAAGTTTTCGGTTGCTTAAGTGAATATACTGACACATTGAGAAAATATATAGTTTACCAGTGCCTTTTACCTGGAATGTTTACTCATCGTACATTTACCTAATCGAAAAAGTATACTCCAAGCAAGACAGTTTAGGACAGTAAAGTTAGTAATAATCGACATTATTTAGTATTAGAGGATAAATATGTGAATGATAAAGGCTAAATATGTAAATCCGTTATTCTCGAATTCTTGGATCGAAAAGAATGGACTAGCTCAGTTCTGTTTTGCTAGTAAATACCAAAGTATAGTTTTAAAAGGTTCTGTTTTTTAACTAATGGATATAATCTGCAAGAAAAGAAAAAACACCGTATAAGATAAAATGCTGCATTGATAAAGTATAACATTGTGGCTGATAAAATGTTCGTGATCTTTATCGCCTAACTTAGAAAAGTGCAGTTCTTATATCAGCTGCAGCTCAACAATTTGAACAAATCAAATACAATTTCCTGCTCTGCCGTATATCAAATGAAGCACGTACGGAAATTAAGTTAAAGCAAGCTAATTTCAGGTTTTTCTTACTATTGTAACTTGAGTCATTTCTGTATGTTGAGAAGCTTTATTGAAAAATCCATTTTTATAAAACGCGTGTTGCATTTCGATATTTTTATTTTAACAACCAGTTTTTAGCCTTTTAATGATTTTTATATTACTTATGAATATGTCAAATATGTTCAGTTTATGTTGCATAACAAAAATACCATATTCGCTGGAAAAAGAGAAAAGAGTTAAAGAATATTTTTTTCTCATAAATACCAAAAATATTATAAAGTGGAATTAAATGGATATGATTCTTTTTTATATTAATAACTGTTATTAATATTTATTATATTAATAAATAAGAAAGTAAATTAGAATTTGCTAACCTTGGACTAGCGACGAGTTTTGATTCTAATATGAGCCACTGCTCTTCTCGACTTCAAAATGGACGTCAGCAGGATCTTCATTATCTGTGCCAGGTTCATTAGTCCTGACGTTAGCCTTAAAACCGTCTTTGCTAGCCTGATAATCTACGTGCCTGTAAATTCCATGGGCGTCTTTGTAACCATAACTGCCAGTCAAATAACCATTGTCGTCCATTTTCTCTTGTCTGTAATGCTCTGCACCATGCTCATCATCGTTTACTTTGTAGCTAAACTCATATGGCATAGGCTGTGAAACACCAGAAAAAGTTTATTATAAATTTCTTCATAGAATAACAATAATAATAACTTCATAGAATAACAATAATAACAATAAGGTCGAAACATGATTTTTACTAAAGAAAGAGTTTCTTCTAAACTGAAAGTTGCATAAGATCTTTAATTATTAATAAGTGCGGCGAGAGAAATTCTGAGAGAGATTCAAATTTTTACTTTAAGTGTTACATGATATTAATGGCAGCATTATATTAATAAGTTTGTAGACGTCTTTTTTTTATTTGTCATTTCATATGTTTTGCCATTTTCTTTTTAAATTAGTATCTTCATGTTGATTCATCTCTAACCCTTGTGGCTTCAATTGTATTTGCATTATCCGCATTATTCGGCTGATGAAAATTGGAAAATAATTATAACGTTTTAAAATTATGGAGTATAGTTTATTAAAGTATAAGGTTATTACCAGTTATTTATACTTCAGCCTTTACTATAATTTCTCCTTTCCGCTTCTTCACCTGAACATAAATGATTTAAATAGTATTTAAACTGAGGTTCTTCGATTGTAAGACAGCAGGGTTTTGTCCTGCATGGACACGGACTACAATTTCTACGTTCTGTATGAAACTGATTGTTCTGTTTAGCTACAAAATCACGAGCTGTGGCTGATATTGCTAGTATAAGAGAGTAGATTTATGTTCTAATTTCTGTTTAAAAAAGATTTATTTAAAACCTTTCTAAGGCTTCTAACCTAGCTATAATTTGTTTCACATCTGTTAAGGTTTTGATGCTGAATTAACGTTTTCCATATCAAGGAAAACCTCATACAGTTACTATGAATTTGTTACCTTAAAGAGTTTTAAAGGTTTCATTCATTCGTTTTTCCGTTTAATTCAGTTCTGTCTAGAATATGAGAATTTATGATGCACTTAAGAAGGCGCAATGGGAATCAAAGCTGATGAAAATCCAGCTAGAAATTAATAAATTCCGCCATCGTAATTTTGTTGGGGTCAGCATGTATGCCTCTATGCCTGTTAATAAACTGAGAAAGAAATAGAAAATAAAAAGGCAGTGATTTTAAGCAGTAAATATATTTTAATTAACAACTTATAAAGAGAGCTGATGTTAAAGTGAGGGAGTTAATTGATTTTCATCACTTCGATGCAGATTGCTTGATTTTTAAAACATTTTATGGTATTATGTTTTTAAATTTAACCTCGCAAGTTGCAGCGGAGCTTGAAATTTTTTAGCTTTTGTAATTTGATTCGTTGTGGAAACAAAAAAAAAATGTTGTTAATTAATAATTATAGAAAATGATTTCTATTACTTTTTATGGAGTTTAGATTTTCAAATTTCCTGGACGAAAGATGTCATTACTGAAATAATTTTATTTTAATTTAAATTTTTTCACGCAGATTACTTCTTAATTTAAGTGACCAATTTTGTCTGAAGCATTGTTTCATGTCGCTGCATTTTCTTTGTGAAATATTATATTAAATGTATACTCATTTGTAATCAAATGTATTGTGTTCTTCATTTGGTTAAGGAATTTTTTAAGTAACTGGTGAAATAATTTGGCTTGGCTAAAACTCCTAGATTACCTTACCTTGCCTTTTAATGTTTCGATTATAAATTTACTGTCTCGTTCGTTAAATAATTAGCACTGGCAAAATAATTAAATAGCCTAATCAAAGTTAATTTTTTCCGAATGTTAACACAATTCGAAATTTTTACTTAGCATTTCAAGCGTTTCCTGCTTCTTCCTTAAAAGTGCTGCGTAGCGAAAAAATAGTTTTTACGTTAGTATTTGTAGTTTCTTTAAATACTGATAAATACGTATTCCATACTAAAAGGATTAATTAGTACCTTTATAGATCTTTCCTGATAAAAAACAAAATAAGAAGTAATTTGCGACTCCGCTGTAAAAGATGATAAAATGTAAAGCGTAATTACCTGGCGCATAAAAGTTAGTTTGTTAATGAGTATGTCCCTGGGATGACATGAAACAGTTTGAAAGAACAGAAGGTTATCTCTTTTCATAAGCGATTAAATGCATATATATACATCCATTCTTAAATCTTTAAAGTTTTTAAGAGCTTTCCATTAATCCCATGAAAAAAATTCATATTCTTACGAAAATTTATTTTCAATTTATTTTGTTGTTATAAATCATTTAAATAATTATAAAAGAATATGAAAAGGCCATACCTTTTAACTTTGTTGTTTAATAATAAACAAACAAAAAACAAGCAAACAAATTTAAAAGAAAATAAATTGCTTTTGCACTGAATTCTATTTTAAGCGTTGTATTGCTATTTCATTTTCAAACGTAGAAAATATAATAGGTATGCGGTGTAAAATTATCTTCTAGGTTACAGTGCTGAAATTTTCTTGCTAATGATTAAAAAATGTTATAAACGCTTCAAAAATGTATTTAAGTTCTTTCTTTTAGAGTTTTATGACGTTACAGATTTTTTTTTTAATTCAAATAAGTTAAAAAATGTTGGTGGTAGCAATTCTGAGAAAGAATTAATATTCACTTTCTGTGAAAATTCGATGAAGTTATAAGAGAACTTTTATTTAAGTTTTAAACTCGTTAGATTTTATTAGGTTATTTTTTTATACCTCCTTCTTAGGCTACATGGTAAAGGACATGTGCTTTAGCCAAAAGTGTTTGAAGGAAATTGGCTCGTATTCAGGTCTCATTTAAGGAAACCACAATATGTACGATTGAATCCATTGAGACTGGGAAGATCTACAGTGTTCGTTGGTCTTAGACATTCGACCACCGATGAGCAACAACTGAACAATTATTCTTACTTTGTAAAAGTTTCAGTGCATCAGGTTCTTATCCTTCCCTGAATAATATAAGGATTATATCAAGGAATATAATATATTCTTATTTTTTTACTAGTATAAATTATCTAAATGTATTGATACTTACTTTGTGATTTTCATCATATCCAGTAGCACTACTTGGTGGATTGGCTGCATCTTCTGTTGGATAGAAACCATATCCACCTGAACCATGAGCCTGATTGCGACTTCCGGGTCCACCAAGGATTGCTTCATAAACTAACTCTTTTTGTTCGATTTGAGGAGCTTTATCTGCACCTTTGATGCCTGCATATTGACGTTTTGAAGGCTTTTCATTTGATACGCCTGAACTTACGGCTGTGATAGGTAAATATTGACTTTGGGATTTTTTTCCCTTATTAATACCATATTCAGATTTAGAGCCACCTTTAACACTTTGACTAGTAGAACCACCTTTTACTGATTGTCCTTTCCCTATCGATTGTGTTGAAGCTGGAGAATATTCATTTCTAGCTTTTGATTCTGGTTCATATTTAATTTCCCCGATGCCTTGGTATTCAGAATCGTCTTTCTTTGGACTTCCTTTTACACGTTGCACTGAAGGAGATGAACTCACACTAAGAGCTTTTGGTTGAGAAGATGGAATTTTCTTTTGCTCTACTTGAATTAATTTGGGTTCATAACTTGGACGATAGCCTTTATTGTCTGAATAGGTTGTTTCTCCTATAGTAGGAGATTCACTTTTCATGTGGTAATTTGAAGGAACACTGCTTCCTTTTCCTGTAGGTTTTCCGCTTTGTTCTGATGCATAAGGCACTGATGCAACTCCCGAACTTTGCTGATGCTTATTGTCACTCTGTTTAAGTCCCCCAATACCTTGATATTCTTTTGGTAATCCAAGATATCCACTGTTGTGTGGTTTTCCACCAGCTGATTTTACGGAACCTTGATGGGGATAACTACTGAATTGTGCATTCGTATCAGTTTTATAATATCCTGAATTTACTCCAGTACTTAAAGTAGGTGCACCAGCCAAATAACCAGCTGTACCTGCTCCTCCATGTATTCCAGATTTCCCGATTTCATCGTGAGAATATTTGATTCTTTGTGATCCGATACCATAATTCTTTTGAGTCAAATGAGAGCCGCCTATATTTTCAATATTACCATATGCTAATTCACTGCTTTTTCCAATTCCGTAATTTCTAGCATCATTTCTAGGCTTGATTCCAGAGTATATAGAAGAACCGGGATTTCCAAAGCTACTGGTTCCACCATGGTATTTAAAGCCATCATTTGTCAAATGTTTCCCAGATGTGCTTCCAGTTCCTTTGTAATGAACGCCACTCTGCAGCTCTGAACCATAAACGCCTAATTCCTTATTGCCTGAAATTCCATGAGATGAGGAGGATTTCGTAATTTTGAATTCATGATAATTTGCATTGCCTCCTGTGCCTTGATTCTGAGCGTATTTGGGATTTACGGCTACTCCACCACCATATCTGAAGCCAGCTGTACTTCCTATTCCCCCATATTCTACACCACTACCGCCCAATGAATTTGGATATTTAAAAGCAGTTATACCTTGGTGTCCCAATGCATTATCACTTCTAGCTCTATGGGGGTATGATCTGTAAGATTTAAGACCACTATCTACTTCTCTTGCTTTTGAATAACCGGATGACAGTCCACTTAAACCCTGATTGCCATACTGTCTTCCTAATCCTTCGCTTACATCTTGATAGTCTTGCTGTGCTCCCAATCCTCTACTTAGACCCTGGTAGTTATACTGTCCTCGTAATCCTTCATGGTTCGCAACACCCAAATTTCCTCTAGAATTTTCATTGTAAAATTTAGGTTCTTCTAAATAGCTAGATTGAATTTGTGATAAAGGACTAGGATATTTTGCATTGTTTCCTAACATAACATTTTTATAGTCTCCTTTATTCATTTTATACATACCTCCATATATGCCACTGCTTCCATATTTACCTGGACGAATTCCTGTTTCATAAGAAACATGTTGATGCTGCTGCGGAGAACTAAGTTTGGCGCTTCCATATATTGGAGGTTCAGAATGATCTTTAAAACTGACATCGACATATTGCTGCCCCGTTGAAACATCACCACCTTTTGGATGATACGGATTCTCTATTTTTGTTCTTTGCCTGTCATGACTGAAGCTTGGATAATCGCTATGTCCTATATGACTTGAATACTCTATTGGCTTTTGGCTGGCTGTATTCTTAGAAGTTACATGGCTTCCTGATTTATAAACATTATACGTGTCTTTAGGTTCATTGGGCAGCCTACTTGCATAGTTGCGAGTAAGAGATTTTACCTCAATTTTCTCTTGGCTGACCTTTGCGGCTTGGTAACTTAATTTTTTCTGGGAAATTTCTTCTGTTGAATCAGTTCCTTTATAATTACCTTGTTTTTCCCCAAGCTTTATGCTACTTTTTGGTTCTTTCGAGCGCTTCGGGAAGATTTCTATCGACTTTTGTTCATACATTTGAGGTTGTGGATTATCATCTGCTTGAAGATCATATTTTTTACTGTCATCGTCATCATACTCTACAGCAACTTGGACTTGATGAACTGGTTGTCTATTTTTTAATATGTCTTCATTTATTAAACCATACTCATCCGCATCTGTAGTTTTGTACGGTGGGTATCCTTTGCCCCATGCCACAGTAAGAAGACCTGCTACCAAAATTACCTGAAATTGAAAGAATTACTAATTTTCTTTCTATTTCAAATACCATTAAATGTTACATTTATATACATAGTATAACAATAATAATATAGTAAATATTTATGTAATTTTATTAAAAAGTTATGGCATACTCTAAAACAAACTAAGTAGAGATATTTCAGACTGAAAATACTAGTATGTTAAATTCAGAATTACCAACCGTGAACAAAAGGTACCAACTTTATAAGCTTTTTTCCCATTTTTACTTCCTTGTAAGAAGTAGTAACTTTTTCTCGACTACAATAGCAAGTAAAGGAACTTTCCTTGTAAGAAGTAAAGGAACTATTGTAGTTGAGAAAAAGTTCGGGTATCATAATCAACGAAAATGTCCATTTTGGCCCCTAACGGATGGAATTTAAAGATTTTTTTGCGTAATCTGTACGTAAGGACTTTAAGACTCTTTTCCCCAAAAGGGATTTAAAAGGGATTCAAAAGACACTTTTTTTTTTGTGAATTCTGTACGTACGTATGAATGTATCTTGCATAACGCTAAAACGAGTTGCCTCAGAACTTTGAAAATTTGTATATAGGACTGCTATAACATGAAGTTGCGCACCTCCCTTTTTTGGTTCCAATTAGCCGCATCAAAAGTATATATAAATGTATATCCAATATGTTACTCGGCTTAGTGACCTCGATCTTTTTTATTCTTATTATGTTGGTAAATTGTGCATGTTTTTGCTTTAAAAATGATTGAATTTTGTTGTTCTTATCTTTCGGTCAAGGTTTTTATGTCTTTAGTTAATCTGCATTCAATAGTTGTAGAAGTATCAGCAATTTAAAAGTTGTTTAAGTGCGGCTAACTCTAATGTTTTTACTATAGCAGCCATATTTATTTACATTTGAAGCATAGAAGAATGGTGATTCCGTACCTTCAATGCCTTTCTGCTGAGTGAGTCCAAAAATAAACTTCAGTTTTGTGCACCAAAATATCTGTCTTCTAGCCCACTTGCTTGTTTTTGTGTATGGCTGTAGAGTAATTAGGCTAATTTTAAGCAGGAGACTTGAAAAAGGAGCGATGCCCTCGCCGGGACTCGAACCACGGGCCTCTCAAATACGTGCCGAGTGTGCTACCCACTACACCACGAAGGCATGCTAGGAAGGCGGGAAAACTCCCCCTTTTAAAGGGCGACTAAGGATTAGGTGACCCTATCACCAGATCCTGGTGGTGGAAAATCGTCATCCACCAACTTGTTTTTAGCTCGGGCTCCACTGTAGAGACATTAGGTTATTTCGAAGCAGGAGACATGAAAATGTGCAATGCCCTCGCCGGGTTTCGAACTTCAAATCTCTCGAATACGCGCCGATTGTGCTGACCTCTACACCCCGAAGTTTAACTTTTTTTCTTTTAGTTTCTTATGTTAAATTTTCGGGCTTTTCTTTTTCAGATAACTACAAAAAATTTAAATGATCTGCAATACATCATGAGACTCATTTAATACTTCGAATTATGATATTTTCTTCTTAATGTAAAAGCCTTTTCTAGGATGCATAAAAATTACTTATAATAACTTTTGCTTATAATATTGCAATTATGGTTAGCAGAGAATTCTTTTCAGAAATTCACGCATTTTTTTACCTTTATTTAGCTTTTATTACAACTAACTTTTATTATTCTGCATACAATATAGTCAGCAAACCAAATATTGCTAATGAATTAATTAATTCTCTTTCATTTCTTTCAAATAAAATATTGGAATATAAAATAAAATATTGGAATAGAATTCCTATATGGAAGATACAAAACGGTATGCATAAGTTGGCCAAGAAAGACTTGTTTTATTCTATACACTTGTAGAGTTAGGCATTTAGGTTGCTTTTGTTCTGTTTCTCATTTCTATTCTATCACTTATGGTAAATTGCGCATTTTTATTTTAGGTAATACTAGAATTTAATAAATAAACATAAAAATACTATAATTACGTTTTTAGATTCGTAATAAGGAATAATGGGCTATTAATTAATGCAAAGCATTAGTTAGCTATTATAAATAAAAGGAGAGCACACAGAACCCCACTTAAACAGGCAATTATGTCCTGTTACCTTAAAATGAGAATTTCGAGGTTATTTTCCTATTCCCGATTTGACTGGTAGCCATGGGAACAACAGCTTAGGAAGAAGGGTCGAGTCGCTTATCCCCCTCCCCACACACTTGATATCCGTTTCGCGTTTTATGCTTCATGAAAGAGCATGAATGAAAGCGCTGACTCAAATAACGTAGCATGAAATGTGCTGAATTGAACTAGAGGATTTTGGCTGCCCTGCTCCGGGAACTTAATCCCACTACAGGTCCACTCTCTCTTTGGGCACGTCGTGGAGGTTCAACCTCCACTATTACCCTCCAGGAGAGCAGCGCACCACCTGGGGACAGGCCCCAGGCAGCACCGGTCGTCTAATGCTCCTACCAGTCGCTTGGGCGAGCCCGTCGCAGCAGGACATTACCCAGCGACCCCGGGGGAGACCCCCGAGTTACTAGAACCACGCCGCGCTAGGACGTGCCAGACTCCGGGGCCGGCCAATAAGTGACCTTTCCCAGAGCCTTCAGAACCACCAAGTTCATAAATTTTATACCCCCGTGGCCGAGACTGCCTAGGTACAGATCCTAGCCAGTAGCTTCGCAGAGTTCTCTACGTCGACCCCGGGGGGGGGAACTGAATTGAACTAAAGCCTGAAATAATTCTGAATGACTAGAAAAGTAAAAAAAAAGTATTCTGAACGTTGTCTCAGGTTCAGTCATAAGGCGTTCCGATACCGAGTATGCAAGGAATTAACTCATTCATTTAGCAGATGTAAGTCCAAAATTATTATATGTCATGTTCATGGTATAGTAGGTAAATGCGTATATAATGAATAGCCAACTGTAGCGTCAATGGGCAAGGGGATATTCAATTAACGTGTGGACTCATTCAATCATCGAAGAGATCCTGTGAAATTTGATGCCACGTCTTCTATGACTGTACTGCATATTTATGCAAGTTTCGAAACTGATGTAACCAGCGTCTACATATATCTTATATATGTTCGGTTAGAGGAAAGTAAAGAGATTCTGATGTTCACAAAGAAATGAAAGGATGCTCCATGATTGTCTTACGAACCGCTCTATTTCACTGCCTTTTTGCTGCCATATATAATTGTGTGAACGCGTTCGACCTCGTTTTATTAGTGTCGACGCTCACTTGATAGAGACATTAGGTTATTTAGAAGCAGGAAAGATAAAAAAAGATCAATGCCTTCGCCGGGACTCGAAACACGGACCTCTCGAATACGTGTCGGGCGTGCTGACCATTACACCACGAAGACATGCTAAGAAGGCGGGAGAAATGACTTATAACTTTTGCAATAGTTATGTTTAGTAGATTATTATTGTCATATTAGGTCATTAATAAATTATATCAGGCTACTATATATTGAGAAAAGTGTTAAGGGAATAAAAAAAATATAACGTAATGATCGTGTTCAGAACAAGTGTACGATATTAGTTGAAAATGCAAAAATTAGTGAATATTGTAAGAATAAGAAAGTAACTTTTAAACATACATTGAAAAGCTATTATGAGACTTCAAAATACTTAAAAACTAGTTTCCGTCATTCGATACTCAATTTAGCTTCGAATTCTAACAAATTTTCAAGTACAAACATGTGAATGAAACGCATTTGCTGGAATATATTGCAAACAGGATTACAGGATCTCATAAAATTACTGCATATTTAATCTACATAGACAAGGAAAATTTTTAAATACAGCATTGTTAAAAAATATGCATAAATAAAATATTTCAACTTGATATGTCAATATCAGTAGTGTTTGTAATGATGCTTTATATATGATGCATTTTATGTTTTTATTTTTACATTTTAAATGAGTCAAGATAAAAACGAAAAGTCAAAGTATAATCAAATGAAATTACTTTAATATAAAATAGTCTAAAAACGAAGGAAATTTAAATTTTAATTCACACCATGAAATTAATTGAGCACCTTAATTTCTTGAAAACAAATCACGTAGCTTTACACAGATCAGTAGTACAAAGTGTATATGCAATTATCCGACGGTTTTCAAAAAAAAAAAAAAAAAAAAATCCTAAATTTATAGGGTTAATAAGACAAGAAGAAACGCTGTAAATTTGTCGAAAGAATAGACTCAATAACATATGAAATCATCATTAATAAATACAGAAAATAATTTATGTTATATTTGGAAAATACTACTAGCAACTAATTCAAATTTCAAAACTAATTTTATTAATAAGTAATTAATGCAAAGGAGAAAAGTTATAATTATTTCAAGCGAATATAAAAATCGGTAATAATATAAAAAAATCCGAAGGCTTCCAGATTATATGTTACACCTAAGGTGTTTTTCTCTTTTACTCATACATACACGCTTCAAGAGCATTTGGGCTAAAAATATTTAAAAAGAGTATATCTTTATAATTTCCGATAGGCAGTCTCGCACGCTGGAGATAAAAATATTTTATTCCAGTACAGTGTTTCTGCACTGCTGTCTTTGAAATCGCTACTAAGTTTCTTAATCAGAAATTCTTTAAAGTTTAAAAAATATGAAAGAGATAATAAAACACATTCGAAAATCTGTCTTTTAGGTCTGGCTTCTAGGTGCCCATTTCTGGTGTGGAGTACTTATGTTGTTCAAAATTTGATGGCTCTAGGTTTCGATGTTTATTCACAATGCGAGAAATATACATACATTCACCCCGAGTCTTCATCATTTAATTTCTTTAAATATAATGCGGGGCGATAATATTTGTTGGCAGCAATTTGAAAAGCGATACAGCCGTTCATAGTGATTCAACGCAAAATGCCAACGCACTATTGGGTTAATAATTGGTAATCAATGATAAAATTTATGAAATAATCACTAAAAATATAGAATATAATTATCGATAAATATTAGAAAATAAACGATAAATATTAGAAAATCCCTAATATTTAAACATGTAATTCAAAGAAAAGGTATAACTATTTCATAATAGAAAGATAAAAACATTAGTGATAAGAATTGAAAATAATCGCTGATAAATATTACAACATCATTAATGTTAACTCCCAAGGCATTGAAAGAGAACATACACTTAAAATTTTAATTTGAATATAATAGTACATAAGCACATGACAAATACGTGAAATACTTCTTTCCATTTTAAGTAAATCTCCAATTTTATAACTGACAGCCTTCCTTTATGGTGTTTCTTCAGAAACAGCATGAAGATCCAGTTAATATTCTTAAAGCCCATTTAAAATGCCTATTAATTTAAAGCCATATAAGCTTTGTTTTAACTCGTAAGAATAATTTCATTGAAATCAAAGCTTTAATTATTATCGGAAAAATGCAGAGAAGTTAAGAAACGATATCTATTTCTTAAGATTATAGGAAATCACCCCGTTTAAGATAAATTTCAATAATATTAGATGCTTATATTTAATATACTGAGAACGAATTCATCAAATCTAAACTTGTTGTTGCTCTTCTAGAAATATTTTATTGATTTCAAGCGTGATTAACAACGATTTCTTTTTATCTGCTATATTTAGGCAAAACTTATTCTGAAAACATGCTGAATATAATTTAGATCTTTGCACGTGATCTCTGACGAAAAAGATCCTGAGTTAGTCGAAATGCCCAACATTTTTCTATGAAACCAACGTTATTTTCAAGTTAAAATTTGCCTAATTTTAAAGCTTTATTTGTTATAGTTCTCAATGTTAACTTAATTTTCTTTTTCAGAACACATTTCAGCAATATTTCCCTAGAATAAGTTATATATACATTATAAATTTGGTGATAGCATATATTTCCTTAAAACTTCAAATAAAAATTTAATAGCTTTTTTTAGGAAGTTAAAGAAAGGAAAAATGATAAATTCTTGCAAAATATTTTAGTTTCGAAATTTATGTGAGAGATTAAGTTACATGTTTCAAAAGACTACTAGAAATTTATTACATACCTTCAGCATTTTATCCACAATATGTAATCCTAAGGTAGTCTTTCACCTCACCCTAAACTATCAGTCAATCAGTATTAACTTTCATTTTCGATTGCCTTTCCCTTTTATATGTCCTTAAAGAACAAATATTAGATCATGATTAAGTAGCCGCATTTTTTATGTTTTCACCCCAAATGCTCCGGGCATCGGGATGCTGTGTATGCAACAATTACCTGGAGGCACAAATTTTTTTTTTACCCCCACAGATGCGTATTGATCTGAATATTCAGGACAGGTAGGAAACTTCCCATAGAATATTTATCTCACCCGCGTTTGGCGATTTATCGACTGATTGAGGATTTGGCGAATTTTTTTGGAAGGTAACTTTTGGAGGGCAAGAAATGAGTTTCATCTTATTTACTAATAAGAAAAACTTAATACATTTATAAATTTATAGTCTTACCTTTATTTTTCTAGAATAGCGCAATTTACTGCATCACATAATTTGTATATAATTTACCCCAAAATGTGCAAATATATGGAATTATTCATAAAGCTTTTGCATTTACGTATATATAGCATACACGTAAAAAAAAAGAAAGAAAGTACTACTCTTACTAGTAACATTTTAGAGCATTTATCTTGATCAAATTCAGAATTATTATTACTGTTGTTATTATATACTTATCTGTAAATTATACCCCATATGCCTGCACTTTGTAGAGTATTATTCATACATTATTTATTTTGTGAAATATCTTTTTTGCCTTCTGCAATCATGATGTGAAAGTAAAATTATAAGATATTTCTCTCGTCGTCTTAGCATGCCTCCATAGTGTGGTGGTCTGCACGCTGGGTGCGTATTCCAGAGGTCGGTGGTTCGATTCCCGGCGAAGGCGTTGCTCATTTTTCAGGCTTCCAAAATATCCTAATGTCTCTACAAAATAAACTGTTATTTTCTTTCATATATTTGATGTAATAGTAATGTAGTGCTTAATAATGAATGACTAATGAAGTATTTAACTAATATGGAATTGAATATATTTTAAAATTTTGAATTTATTTCTTAAATACATTGAAACTATGAGTACAAGCGGTTATGAAAAAATGTTAGAATTTCACATCATTTTATGAACTGCTAAATTAAAAGGTAATAGAATTTTAACGTAACTGCAGTATACTGTAAAAATAATTGTTATAAAATATTTGAATAATAAAATTGAAAGAAAAATAGTGTAAAACGATATTTGTAAGTCGCACGGGAAGTAGCAGAGAAACTTTTTATGCGGCGATACTGTATATTTTACACGATAACTATCTTAGAGTTTCTATTATGTATAGTTATATATCTTCAGACGTACATATAAATACTGAAGTGCAAGAAAAATTTGTATAACAATTAATATCTAATAGGTCCCTCATAGGAGTACAGAATTGAAGAAATATAGCGAACGATGAACAATAAATATCTTACTTCCTGCTGAACGATCCACAGCTTTGTATTCGAAAATGTAGCTTTTCTATGTAGCTTGCTGCATAGCATTCGAGATATCTTCGAATCTGATTATTTTTGTGGCCACAGCTGGTCTCGTTTGGTGTAACTGATTATGGCAAAGCACACTAGGACTATCTGCCTAAGGAAAGAAATGTCATTTCTAAGGGAAACTGGCTCTTATACATGTTACACATGAGCAAAATCATGAAAATGTCATGCATCCAGCTCGTCAGCCGGAATCAACTCCAGGTCAGAACAACCAGTGTTCAGCCGCTGGTGGGTCTTACGGCCATGGGGCAATTCTTCAAACCCCCCAAAATATTCCTCAATGTGCTGTTTGGTGTTTCTAGATTTGTAGCCTTATATATTAATAGGTTAGAAAAGGCTACACTCATCAAAATGAAAGCGATTCATGAACCAACTCATTAGAAAGGAAGGACATGTTCACTTAACACAGACGTTTGGAGATATACCAACGATTAGACTGAATTCCAACAAAATATACTCCACATCATTAAAAAGTAGTATAAACTTCATAAAATTAAGAGCTAATACTAAAGTCTCGTATCGGTATATGCGATCTATACTCATGTCCAGTTTTATCTTTTTATAAACAATAGCAATCACATTCCATTAAATAATGTTTAGTCCAGATTTTCGCGAGAGGTGTGAAAGAGAAGCCTAAATAGCATTATCTAATCAAAAGTGATATACAAATCAAGGCATTAAGTCCTTTGATATTGAATCATGCGCCTTTTGCAAAGCAAATATCTTAATGAATTTCTGCAATACGACCTTTGATTTCAGCGTGTAAGAACTCAAAACAGTTTGTTTTACTTCCTAAGTACATTTGGAAGAATCTGTGAAGTGAGGAACCATCAGCAATTTAGAAGCAGGACAGGGAATCAGGACAGGGAAAAGGAAACAGTGAGATGTAAGAAAGTTATGGAATAATTCTAAGAACCATGAAACTGTTGTAAGGAGCCCCGAAAAATGTCGTAAAAACTTCTCAAATTCAGTTCTTGGCAGCACCTGTCCGTCATAACATTGATCGGAACCTGTTGTTAGACAGTTTGGTTCAGAACTTGCAGCTGCCACTCGATCTGTTGTATCACTGTAAACTGTGTTCAGAAAGCTTAATAAACAACCTTTTTGCAGAAAGCCAAGGGTGTATGTTTCATCGCATTCACAATTAAAAGAGATCACCTTAATTCGTGCAAAAAACATCAGAACTGGAGTGAACATCAAGAGCCTCAACTTCTCTTTAGTGATGAGTTTAGCATCGATTGTAAGTGTGTTTACATATGGAAGAAATCTCGAACGCGACCTTTTCAGCAATGCAGGTTTGATGGTATGGGGAGAAAAATGGTCGATGGACGTAGGTCTTCACAGTTTTCGGCAGCGAATCTGCTACAATTAGCATTTTATCTGCAAAGAGATATTGTGATGGGGTCTTAGAATCTTCCGTCAGACGTTTCAGAGGCGCATATGGATCTGACATTTTAATTATAGACGCTAATGCTAGTCCATATCAAACAAAGCTCGTTAAGACGTTCCTTAAAATAAAGATAGTGAGCAAATATTGTGGCTAGCAAATTGTTCTGATTTGGTGGAATTGTTATGGGACTATCTTGGAAAAGCATTTGAATGAAGACGTTCATCTGCTAGAAATGTAAATGCACTAAAGACTACCTTGCTGTAGAAATGAAAATTGATTCCTCAAACTGCGGTTAACAACTTTTTTTTCAGTATGAAAGCATGTTGGGATATGTGTGTAAAAGCCAGAGAAGGTCCCATTCCACATTAACTCATAAACCTAACCTTAATTATGATTCTGCCTTTTTCCCCCGAACAGTCCTTATAACATGTTTTTATCATTTGTATTGTTTCATTCTACAATCTAAGTCATATTTTGTGTACGTAAAGGTTCGTAATAGATTGAAAACACAAGTCCGATAAAATGTTAATAAAATTTATTCTTATCACAAGAAAGCCAAAAGCCAGGATTTTCCTCAAAAGTATTCGTAGAATATCACACAGTAGTTCTATTTTAAACTATTAAAACGTTAAGTAGAACCCAATTCAAATCGCAGAGAAAGCTAATCCGATCTCACCGTGAATTAGCTACAGTATATAACAACGACTAAGTAAACAACTGAGCTGAGATGTTTCTCTCCGACCTTTTAAAGCTTTTTAACCGGACACGAGAAAGTTCTGGTAGTTCCTGTTTTCTCGAGAGTTCTGGAAAGCAAAAGAGTAGAGTTACAGTTACAGCTAACAAAGTAAATTACATTCTTTCAGTTTAAATATAAATTATGAGATATCTATTTATTAAATGCTTAAATGCGCGTGCCCCTGTATTTTTACTTTTTCGGCGTAGATTTCTCTTAAAACTCGTCACGCGCTGCATTGCACGAGAAATAAAACCAGTTTAATTACAATTCTACTAAAAATAGTTAACTAAAAACAAAATGTGTAACACTGCCTTCTTTCCAAGGACTACACTTCCCGGGCAGTACAATCCATGAACAGAAAACCAAACTTACAACAAAAGGCATCAATGCAATAATAAACATTACATTACAATAAAAAACAACATAAACAAAAAATTGCAATAAGTAACTTAAAGCAAATCAAATGCTATCAAATACTAAATACAAATCAAATCAAATACAAATTCAGAAACAACAAGGACCATGGTCTTATACTATTTACAATTATTTACACTACGTACTATAGCCATAGTGAGGACTAACCTGTCGTATAGAACGACTTTAGGGTTAGAGTTCGATGATTTACGGATCCTAAGCATGACGTCACTAAGGCTGTTTAGGACCTGTTAACGGACCCTCCCAAGGTGACTGTAGCTTAGGATAGAGTCTTTTCCGTCGAGACGGATTCCATAACCATACCTTGTCTCCTTCGTTGAATTGATATAGAGTAGCTCTTGTGTCTATTGATATCATATTCTTGTGTCGTATCGGATCTTCATCTTCTCCGTCGTCAAGTTGACTCGCTCTCGTGCAAAACTGTGCTTCACTTCAAAACCGGGCCTGGAGATCTTGAATGCATTTCTCAGGCGATGAATGGCGCATCCGGAGGGCGACCAAACAAGAGATCACAAGGCAGACGAAGGTCAGGACTGAAGAGCATCTGAGGTGGGGAATAGCAACACCTCCTAGAACTAACTAGGTCAGTTAGTTCTAGGAGGTGTTGGGAATAGCCGGTAGTCTCGCGGACAGTACAGCGGTAAGCCAGAAAAAACAGTGGTAACTTCTTGTCCCAGTCCTGTTGATTTCTGAAAACTACCAATGAGAGGTTATTAAGGATGGTTAGATTAAACTTCTCTACCATGCCGTCCGGCTGGAAATGTAAAGGCGTCGTTTGGGGTTTTTTAGTGCCGAGTAGCTTGCAGAGTTCTTTAATTACAGCCGAGGAAATTATTTTCCTGATCGGAATGTAACTTAAGACGCACTTTCGAAAGGTGCTTCTACACTGCAAGGTTGAAGCTTGCCTCGGCTGCGTTTCTTCGGTCCTTTCTGATCCGCACAGGCATCGCAAGATAGGTACCACGTTTGCACGTCATCCTTTGCGTTACTCTAATAGAAGCGCTCTCGAACTCTCTGCAAAGTCTTCATTATTCCGAAGTGGACTGCTGTAGGGCTGCTATGTAGTTC